TTGGGGACCGGGGGACGGGCTGTGGCTGCGGGCTAAGGTGGACTGGTGATGCTGTGGGGAGTAGTCGGGGGCTGTCGTCCGGGGGACGGGCTGTGGCCGTGCCGTGGGGCCGCGGGCTGGCGGCACTGTGGTGCAGCAGGGGGGCTGTGGAGCAGGCTGTGGTAGTACCTGGGGGCAGGCTATGTGGCAGCAGCGCTGTGGGCTGCTTGCCTGGCCCTCCCTGCCACGCTCCCCTGGCTGCCAGCCTCTTGTCCCACTTTTGAATTTAGGCCACCCGCGCCAGTGGGCTGAAAGGCCTTGGGCAGCTGTGACAAGAAGTGCTGGCGGTGCCAGGTGCTGGAACATGCTGTACCCCATCCGCGGGTACCCTCCTCAGCCTGTGCAGGCCTTGGCCTCCCCGAACCACTGCGCCTGGTTCTCTGCAGGCGTGGACATGCACACAGTGAGTGTGGCAGGCCTGCACTTCGCTCACTGCAGACTGACTGCCGTGCTGTCTGCGGCACAGCCAGATCCGAGACTGACCCCACAGACCCAGCAGGAGGGCTGTGCCTGGGCTTTTTCAGACATAGCTGCCCAAAGGTTTTATTGGAGCAGCAGACCTCACTCTGGCAGCCCCGGCACATGTGGGCTGTTCTCAAAGTTTGGAGTGAGACAGTGTTCTCCCTGATGCCTGCATGATACCAAATGGGTTCCCTGGTAGTTGTAATTTGTGCAGGAGTATGCTGTGCAAATAAGGTCTCCCAATTTCCCTGTGGGTTCAGGTTGTTCCAGTTATGAGTCAGAGCCTTCTGCAAGTGTGCCAGTAATGTTCAGGGAGCTAATCCCAGGAAACAGATGAAAAATAACCCTGAAAAGTATTAGCTTAGTGTGAACAGTAAATACCTAGGCAATTCCCAGGGAAGTGTACAAACCTGGTGTTTGTAGCAGAGCGTGTAACTTGTGTGTTCCTGTTCCTTCCCTCCTCTGTGGGATGAATCCCCAAGAAGAAGAGAGAGACTGTGATTCCCTGTGTCTTAGCCCTTCTGTGTATCTCCTCTCACCACCCTTGTGCCCTTTGGGATTTGAGGAAAGTGAATGTGTGCTAATATCTGCTTCAGCTCTCCTTGAAAATTATCACCAGGAAGTGCTTGGCACAAGAGAAGTGTTCATTTGTGTATGGCACACTAGTCTGACAACTAAAGCTTTTGCCTTCGATGAGAGTGAACTTTCTGTTGAAGCCAATGGCTTTGTCTTGTAGGAGCAGAGGTCAAATGGATGCTTCTACGGTGCTTGCTTTGTGTGTTCTCTGCCAACAGTAGTGGTGTCGGGACTGACTGTAGAGCCAGGGCTGCTTCTCCTACCAGCACATCTGCTGTGTGGCAGAACATGCTGGTGAAACAGACTGGTTTCTGAAGGAAGCTGGAGATGCTGAGGACTGTCCGTAGAGAATCTTCCTTGAGTGAACAGACACTCTGCCCATTGGTTTTTTTTATTTAGTTCTTTTTCTTGACTGCAGCAATGGGGTTTGAAAAGAGAGGACGCAGAAAACAGAAGTCAGTGCCCCTTTAATTCTGTGACCGGAAAAGTAATGCACGTGGGAGCTCTCATAGAATCATTTAGGTTGGAAAAGACCTTTAAGATCATCGAGTCCAACCAATGATCCTCCTCCCTCTGTGTGTTGGAGTTCATCCATAAAATGTGCTTTCCTGGAAGCTAGTTTGCATCCTTGAAATACCACTCTGAGCTCTTCCTTAACACAGAATCTTTGTGGTGCAGTTGCTTCACAGTCACCTCAGCTTGGACCATGAGTGCTGGACAAGCTACCCCTTCCCTGGCAGCCTGCTGCTGCAGATGATAGCTGCCAGAGGGTTTGGCTTTGGTTACACTGGGACAACTTGCGGATTTTGATCTAACTGAGTGTGGCAGCAAATGCTGCTGTTCCTGAGGAGTGCCAGCGGCTTAAGTGGGTGAGATGAATGCAGTACAGTGCACATCCTGCTTGTAGTGAAATAGATGAGACCTGAAAATGCAAGTTTTTTGCAGATAGCACTGAACACTACAGCATCTGAGGCCCTATGCAGATATGCAGGAGCTTACTATCTGTGCTCACAGAGCCTGTACCTCCAGGAATGGAGGACTAAAGGGTCTTTGAGGGTGAACTGTCCTCTCATTCTGTTCCTCTTCCAAGAATGTCACAGAGCCAGGAGAGTGCCCTGCTGAGTGCAGGTAGCAGCACTGCTGCTGGGAGCAGTGAAGCTGCAACAAGGTGGGGTGGCTCTGCTGGGACTAGCCATGGGGCCGCTGGCATGTGGCTTATGCTGCTAAGGGATTTTGTCTTTGCAGAGCTTCCTGAGAGCTGGGCGGATATGCAGGAGCCACTGCTTGAGGGGATGTGCTTCACACTCAAGTATCTAGGCATGACGCTGGTAGAAAAACCCAAAGGAGAAGACATGGCTGCTGCTGCCATCCGCAGGATCGTTGCCACGGTGAGAGCTGGCCCTGGGGCCCTGCTGTGCCGGGATGGAGAAGAGCTAATTAAGAACCCAGCCCCTGGACTCTAGGAAATGTCCATGTCCCAGCCCTGAACCCCAGCTAGGGACCATGCTGTTCCCAAGAGGAGGGTGGCATGCAAGAGGCTGGCTGGTCTCCGCCTGTGTGCTGTGGGGGAAGTTGTCTTCCTGCAGGACAGTCGCCGCTGCCTCCTCCCACACTGGGAACACTGCTAGGAGCAGAGCTGTGCTTGTCACAGCATGGAGAGGAGGGTGAAGTACTGGGGGAGGTGGGGTCTGTCCTTTTCCGTATGCGTGGCAGTAGCGTGAACAGATTCCAGGGGTGTTCTATGCAGGTCATGCCTGATCTCTAGGCTCTGCTTTCCCATCCCTACAGCAGGAGCCTTTGCAGCAAGGGTCCAAGTGGGTGGCACTTTGTACAGAGTCTGGGGGATTCCTGCCAGTGAGGGAGGGGTGAAGACCCGTGCCAGATTTGCAGAGGTGTCTGGTGTCTCCCCACTGCCAGGCACGGGTGGGAGCTCGCAAGTTCCAGAAGGTGATTCTGACAGTGTCTCCGAGGGGCATCTCGCTGCAGGATGCAGACACAAAGGAGATGGTTGAGAACATCTCCATCTACAGGTGGGCATGGCATGTGGAGAGGGCCTGGGTGTTCCTCAGCAGCCAGCTGGAGACTGATGGGACCTTGAGCAGCCAGGGAGGGCTGGGCCTTCTGTCAGTGGTACCTTCAAGCTTAGGTCTTCCTTTGGCTCCCTGAGGCCCGTGCCACCTCCCTGCTGTGCCTCACAGCACTGCCTGGGGCTGAATGCAGGCAGGGTCCTGGGCAGCCTTGAGTTCTGGGTCAGTCTATCTGTCTTTTCCCTGGGCCCTGCTTGTCTCTTCTGGCATTCAAGCAGGGTGTTGAGGCTGATGGTTGGAAAGCCCCCACAGCTAGGGCAGGACTGCCAGACTGCATGTCTGGCTCTCTCCACTGACACAGGACTGCCCTTCTGGGTGCAATGGGATGAGGGTGCCATGGACTGCAGCTTGCTCAGGCTGGCTAAAAGCAGTTGCTGTGAGAGCTGATGTGTTTTTTTTTTACTGCTGCCAGCTGTGCTTTGGCTGGGTTGGGTGTCAGTGGGTGCTGGGTGTGAGAGGAGTGTGGCTGCAGGCTGGTGTCTAGATGGGAAGCAGAGACAGGACATCTCCTTGGTGCAAAATTTGGGTCTCAGCACCAGAGCTGATGTGCCAAGGCAGACCATCCTACTGCCTGGCCTCCAATCGTGTCCTTGGAGGCAATCACCCACCCTTCTGTGCTCTTTCTGTCTCAGTGCTTGAGTTCATACATTGGGGTTGAACTGGGCATCAGAGGACCGAGGAGCACACTGAGGCAATGCAGGAGGGAATGCCTGTGGATGCAGTGATCTCTTACTAGCTGTAGGTGCCAGGCAGCCTCTGGCCCTTGCTGGGTGGTTGGGCTGCCTGATCATCTGGGGCAGATGAAAGCCTCAGGCTGTCAGCACTGCTTGTTGGTGTGCTGGGAGCACAGCAGAAGACCTCTGCTGGGGTCCCTTACTGCCCTGAGCAGCTCCTCTCTGCCTGCAGGATCTCCTACTGCACAACAGACAAGCTGCAGAACAAAGTCTTTGCTTATGTGGCCCAAAGCCAGGAGAGCGGGGCACTGGAGTGCCATGCCTTCCTCTCGCCCAAGAAGAAGATTGTAAGCACTTCCCTTCTGCTCTTGGCTCCGTGAGGTAAGGGTGGGAGCAAGGGCCTTCCTTCTCCCCCTTCAGAGAGAGAAGGCCCTTACCTCTGTGCACCTCAGCTGGATATGGAGCCAGGGAGCACATGTGTGCTCACATGCTGCAGAGGTGGGTGGTGAGCAAAAGGAGGTTCTTCTGTCCCAGCTCCTCTGGGATCTCCTCTTGGGGATGGCTGGCCCACGTGGGTAGACAGACACAGCATTGAGCTCTGGCCTTCCGTGTGCGTGCTCTGCAGGGAAGGGCAGCGAGGGGGGCCTGGGGGCTCTCAGATTTCATGGCAGTGGGGTTGTCTTGGCTTGAGGGCCCAGATGGAAGCACACATTCCCCTCTTTCTTGTATACAGGCCCAGGCTGTGACTCTGACCGTGGCCCAGGCCTTCCAGATGGCACTGGATCTCTGGGAAGCAGCACATGCAGGTAGGAGGAATTTCCCAAACATGTCCCTCTGCCTAGCGCTGGGATCAGGGTCTCCAGTGTGGGACCCTGTTTTGGGCTGTGTGGAGGAGAGATGGCTTGCTGCCTGGCTGGTGAAACATACCAAGCAGGGAGTGTGTTGTCCCTGTTGTTGTGTTCTCTGCCACCGCCCCACCTGGGGACCCTGCCCTATCTCTGGCTGGGGTGGGGTGTCCCTGCTATCCATGCTGAATTCTTCTGCATTGCTGAGCTGTAGCACAGCTCAGGGCCCTGTGGTACCTGCCCTGAGCAGTGATCCTCCACCCTTGTTTGCACCCTCCCCCGAGCACAGCAGGGGTATCTGTCCCTTGCCCACAGTCCTGCCTGTACATCCGCTGCTGGGCCTTCTCCAGGTTGCAGGCACTAACTGCTGCTTTTGCCCTGTCCCAGGCTCTAGGCAGGAACAGCCCCTTCACCCTTCATGTGTCTTGGAGAGCAGTGAGCCCAGCAGACCAAGTGAGCCAGCCCCCCCGGGGAGCCCTCCCTTCAGACACCAGTTTGGGGTACAGTATGTGCAAGTCTGGCCCAGGGCTGTCTCACATTAGAGCAGGAAAAGAGTAACCCTTATGCAGCTCCCTCCTCCTGGCCTTCTAGGACCCTGTCAGTATCTGCGCAGCCTCCCTCGCACATGGTGGCCTGACATGAAGAGGGGTACTCTGTGCTCTGTCTGGCTCACAAGGCAGGCGTGGTTCCTCAGGTGGTCTTTGCTCCAGCAGCATTACTGCTGGCCCTGTCAAACAGGGAGCTGGGACCTGCTCTGCACACTTGGTGCCATGGCTAGGGGTGAGACATTGTCTCTGAAGGAGAGGAGCCTTTGTCTGGTCATCATCTTGCCAGCCTGGGCTAAGGCTCAGCCCTGCCCATCTGCACTACACCTACTGCATGTCCAGAGCCAATCAGAGCATTGCCGGTCTCACTGTGTCCCTGCCCAGAAGCCTGGACACTTGGTCCTTGGCCTCATGCTTCCAGCGCTGGCCCAGCCTGGCAGTGCTTGGGGTTATCCTTGCTTACAGCCTGCTCCCGGGTGGTCCTCTGCCTGGCCCTCCAGCTGCAAGGTGTGCTCACCCCACTCCTGTCTCTGGGCAAAGGTGTGCTGTGTGCAGCAGCTGTCTCAGCTTGGTGGCTTGTTCCCTGCTCACAGCCTGTGTTTGGTGCTCTGCTGGCTGGAGGGGATGTGAGAAGAGCTGTGGTCTGTCTCTCCCCTTGTGTGCCTGTGTGCCTGAGCCCTGAGGATTTCAGCAGCCCAGCACTGCAGGTGCCATTTTTCCCTCTACTGCCTGTAGGCACCCTTTGTCTGTGTCATGCCTGGTGGGTGACCGTCTCTTGTGAAGGGGCTGGGGACTGCCTTGCTGCTCCAGAACAGGCTCTGGGCAGCCCAGCCTCGCTCCTGGCAGAGACCTGTCCAGGCAGCGAGGTGTCATGGTGGTTTTTTGTTTTGGTTGGTTTGTTTGTTTGTTTGTTTGTTTGTTTGTTTGTTTGTTTGTTTGTTTGTTTGTTTGTTTGTTTGTTTGTTTGTTTGTTTGTTTGCCAGGATGTTTGCCAGGAGGAGGAAGAGGAGGAGGAAGATGATAATGTCGGTGAAACCTTATCTGGGTAGGTGGTGAGCTGCTGCTTGTGTTCAGGGATCTCTCTGGTGAACCCTGTCTTGTTTCCTTCTCTGTGCCCCATGCAAGGGGAGCTGCTGGGCCCACGGGCATGGTGGGAGCATGGAGGAGATCTGCATGGGAGATCTGCATGGGAGCAAGGGGGAGCTTCCTGCTGCTTTCTCTGCCTCTGTAAGCTGAGAGGTCGAGTGAACAGGGAGCTGAGCTGTGGAGGGGCAGAGCTTGCAGATCAGCTTTTGCAGTGGAGCTATAGGAGACAGATGCTGACCCTCAGGATGTACCCAGAGATGTTACTTGTTCTGTTTCTCCCACTCTTTGCCGAGGCCAGCCTATCCAGACATGCTTAGAATCATAGAATCATAGGATCATTTAGGTTGGAAAGGACCTTTAAGATCATTGAGTCCAATCGTTAACCTAACACTACCAAGTCCACCACTAAACCATGTCCCTAAGCACCACATCTACACATCTTCTAAATACCTCCAGGGATGGTGACTCCACCACTTCCCTGGGCAGCCTGGTCCAATGCTTGACAACCCTTTCGGTGAAGAGGTTTTTCCCAATATCCAATCTAAACCTCCCCTGGCACAACTTGAGGCCATTTCCTCTCGTCCTATCGCTTGTTACTTGGGAGAATAGACCGACACCCACCTTGCTGCAAAACCTCCTTTGGTATTTTTAGAGAGCGATAAGGTTTCCCCTGAGCCTCCTCTTCTCCAGGCTAAACAACCCCAGTTCCCTCAGCCACTCCTCATGTAAGACTTGTTCTCCAGACCCTTCACCAGCTTCGTTGCCCTTCTTTGGACACACTCCAGCACCTCAATGTCTTTCTTGTAGTGAGGGGCTTCTCAGGTGGGATTCAGAGTTGTCCCTCTCCTCCCACTGATTTCCCTGGGGCTTGGGCCAGGATGGAGGCCTGGTCATGCTGACTTCTGTGTGGACTAGGGTCTGGGGCTGAGCTTGCTGGTGTCTGTCTTGTGCTTGGGAGGAACTGATGGTACCAGTCCAGCAGTGGAGGATTAAGCCGTAGGTCTTTGCAGAAGTGTCTGTGGTAGTGGGTGTGAGAGGCCTATTCCATTGTGGCTATTCTCCATGTGCCTGGCAGCTGGCACCTGGCTGGGGTCTGTCAGCGCCACAGGGCTGAGCCTGGTCTGAGCTGCTGTCAGCCAGGAACCAGTGTGTGCACAGACTGGAGCTATGCATGTGGCCCTGTGAAGTGGCAGCCCTTTGTACATGGGGGCTCCTGATGGGAACGAGATGTGGCTTTGCAGTCTCAGGACAGGCTGGCCTGGGGAAAGGATTTGGTAGCAAGTGGGCTAGGGGCTTCTGCACTGTGAGTGCTTGGTACTGCTGTGCCATGCCTGCATTGTCAGAGTCAATGAGCATGCTGCGTCTCTCAGCAGGCCTTGCTTGGGGTATGATGAGTGCTCTGTTCTCTTCCAAAGCAGCATGGAGGAGCTGGGGAGAGGAGCCCACAGCTCAGCAGGTAAGTTCTTTCCTTCAGTGTTGCTTTGCCACATCCCCCAGCATGACCTCTGCAGGGAGAGGGGGCTGATGGCTCACCTGGGAAGGTCTGCTTCCCCTCCCAGGCTGTGCTGGGTTCCCAACTACATGCCTCATGGACCGAGTCTTCCTCCCTCCTGCTTTTCAGAGTCAGCAACTCTTGTGCCTAGAGTGAGCTCTCCTACTGCACAGCTACTGTGCTACCGCTTGGGGCAACCCCCAGACAGCTGGAAGGGACTGGGAGGAGTTGGAGACGTCCCCACAGCTGGCCCAAGGACTGCTGGCCCCAAGACTCCCCTGGGCTAAGCCAAATCTCTGCAGCAATGGACCAGCCACTCAGGATTCACCCTGTGCCTGCACCTGGGCCATACAGTGCCTGCCCCTGGCACTGCCCACCAGGCACGGGGTCTGCTGGCACCACTGCCATGCAGTGCACAGACTGTGACACTTGCTTCTTGTCCTGCTCTCCGCCTGCATGAACTGCCTCAAACTGCAGCAGCTCCCTGCTCCCAGCTCGGGCTGGTGGACCGGTGCTCCTCGCTCTGCCCACTCCCAGTGCATGCAGAGCCACCCCATGTGCTTTGAGCCTGCACGATGCAGCCAGTGTGCCTGGGACTGCACTGTGTCTGACCTGCCTCACTTGTTTCTCCCGCCTTGCTCCTTGTGGTGGCAGCTGGGGACCAGCTGAGGCTGAGCAGCCCCCTGGAGATGGTGGAGGACTTGCTTGGCATGCATGACCCTCAGGGACCAATAGCTCTTGGCCTGGAGGAGTGAGTGAGTGAGGCCTTGCCCCTGCATTTCAGCCCCACACCCTCTCACGAGTGAAATGACCTGGTTTTTAAAGGAAAGCTCTGCCTTTATAGGGAAATAAACTGAGGGTTTTTTACTGTTGTTATTTGGGTTTGAGTTCTCGATGGGGTGCCATGCACAAGTGTGCAAGGTACTGTGTCTCTGCTGTGCTGCCTGCAGTGCGGGCGTGGGCTGTGCCCTGAGCTCTTGGAGCCTGCAGCTGCCCTGGAGCTCCCCTGTCTTCCTTGGCTTCTGGCCCTGAGGGAGCCGTTCCCCCTGTGCTGAGGGCTGCTGGGGCCCAGGGTGGCCCTTGTTATCTGGGCGGCAGCTGGTCTAGGCTGTGCTGGACTGGTGTGTCTTGAGCACCTGTGAATGTCATCTGCACTGACGGGAGCTGACAGCTAACCATGCTGAGGCCAGGGAGGACACAAGCCCCCTGTGTGCCTGCTCTGCTCTGGGGTGCCTTTGCCCTGCTGCACACCTGGCTGTGGTCTGGAGACATGGGCAAGCCATGCACCTGGTTTCCTTCCCCAGATAGAGCAGGGGAGGCTGCAGCCAGCAGGATGTCTGGTTTCTCCAGCAAGTAACAGTTTGCAGCTGCTTTCTGGCTGAGGACCTTGCTGCTGAGTTCCTGTCACATCGCAGCACATCTCCCTTTATAAGGCTGGTGACACTGACAGCCCCAGCTGAGCAGTACTCACTGTGTGCAGCCTGGGGCAGCAGAGCTGGTCTCCCAGCGAGTGCCATAGGCAGCTGCTGTGGGGAAGGCTTTGCACTCTGGGGATGCTTGGGTCCCTGCAGGTCAGTCAAGAGCTGCGCACTGGTTTTCTCACTTGCGGTTTTGCATGTTCAGTCCTGGTCTCGTGCCTTTCCTCCCACAGCTGAGGGCACAGAGCAACCTGCAGACATTATTGGGGTTGTTAGTGTGAGCAGGTCATTGTCAAGTCCTCAGCTTCCAGCATCGAGGGATGGCTGACCTGTTGGTGGTGTGGGTTTAACAGCCCTTGATGTGGCTTCCTGCCCTGCACTGAACCAGGATGCTTGGCATCCATGCTGTCCTGCAGCTGCGTGCTGCAGGTAGTGCTGAGGGGTGGACAACGCTACTGCTAATGCTGGCACATGCTGATTGCTTCACTCATCCTTTGCTCTTGTCCTGTGAATAATTGTTCACCATCTCCTGCCACTGGGGAGGGCAGTGGGCTCTACCCTGCTGTCTGATAGCTGTCACATGTCCACACAGAAGTGCTCCAAGCAGTTTAACAGCCTCTCTCCCTGGGACTCGTGGTTGCTGCAGTGTGCTCTTTGCTGTGACTATGCCGAATGCTGCAGCCCTGTATGGCTTCTTGCAGGACTTCATGGGTGCCAGTTCTGCCGTTATTCCCGGCTTTAACCAGCTGTTGTTGCAGGGAGTGAACTGCTTCCCCGCCCCGCCCCCCATCTCAGCCTTGTGTGTGTGAGAGCCTTTGCCAAGTCTGTTCTGTTTTAGCGATGTACAAGCTAGCAATGGGTTCACCATCACCCACACATGTGTGAACACTGTCCAACATCTCTTAAATTGGTGTGCCAGAATTGCCCTGCATGAGCCACACAGCCCTTTCCTTTTGTCACTGTGGTACTGGTGCTGCAGGGCGGGTGCAGGGATGCATGTGTATGTGTGTGCATGTCCCACTCTGCCCTGGCACTGTGTCAGGTATTTGCACTATCCTGTGCTAGTGCTGTCAGACTCATTCATGGGGTGTGTGCTTGTACATGCCTCAGAAAATACCTTTGTCCAACACTGCTGCCGCCTTTCCTGTGCAGCACTCATCTCTGCAGCTCCCTGCCTTCATGCACTGCCATGGTCTGAAAAAGGAATGGTGGCTTGAGGTTTTTTTTTTTTTTTTTTTTTTTTTTTTTTTTTTTTTTTTTTTTTTTTTTTTTTTTTTTTTTTTTTTTTTTTTTTTTTTTTTTTTTTTTTTTTTTTTTTTTTTTTTTTTTTTTTTTTTTTTTTTTTTTTTTTTTTTTTTTTTTTTTTTTTTTTTTTTTTTTTTTTTTTTTTTTTTTTTTTTTTTTTTTTTTTTTTTTTTTTTTTTTTTTTTTTTTTTTTTTTGGGGGGGGGGGCTGTCTTTTTTGCCTCAACACTGCACCCTGATTTGACATTTAATGTGACAGACTTCTGTGCTCCTTTTTGATTTGGCCACAACCACTGCATTTTGACATACAGTTTTTTGGTGCCTCCCCCAGCTCCCCAACTCTGCTGCAGAGTCGTGCTCCTTTGTTTCTTTGTGTGTGTCTCTGGTCTGGTTAAAGAACTCATGATAGTAGGCATGTGTCTGCTCTGACCCTTCAGGATAGCACCTCTGAACATTTTCCAGGGCACCAGAGCTTTTTAAACACTCTTGTATTTCCCTGATAGCCCTAATTTTTTTAATGTACCTCCCTAAAACATGAAAGTTAGCTGGCAAAACAAGGTGGTTTGTCTCTCTGGAGCTATGGCCATGCTCCCTGCAGCCCAAGTTACAGCACAGCAGCACTTGCACCCCGCCACCATGGTGCTTTTGCTCCTCAGGTACCCCTCTCCTCACCTGACCAGGGAGCTGCACAGCCCCCTCCAGCCAGCAGCCTGCTGGAATCTGGCCTCATCCTCCTTCCTGGCCCTGCTGCCAGGGTGTCTCTACTTTCTGCAGCCTGTTTTGTTTGTGCAGAGAAAGCAGCTGTGATGCCATCCTCAGCAGGACAGTCTGTAACTGCAGCTTGTCCAGCAGTATGGCATGGCCCAGCACGTGGCACTGGCACTCCCTCGAGGGCCAGAGAGGTGTGCAAGATGACCTGCAGCTCTTGCACAGCATGCAAAAACAGGTCTCCTTCTAAGGGCCATACACATATGTTCAAGAACACACACACACACACACACACAGACCTGCAACTCTGCAGGGACAATGCTGCCTTTGAGCCAGGATGCTTTTATTGAAAAGACTCTGCCACAGGGAGTTGCTTATCCTGTCCCTTCCCCACCTAGTCCTGCAGCAGGAGCTGAGCAGCACCTGGAAGGAAGAGTCCTGAAAGTGCTTTACTGGCAGGTTTGTTCCTGGAAGACGCTGGATCCTGTGATGCTTGAGTCCAGGGCTGCAGAGCCAGCACACTAGCTCAGTGACAGGCCACAGAGCAGAGCACAGAGGGAGAACAGCAGCCAGGGCACCAGCTGCCATCTCTGCAACAGAGAGCCTCCTCACATCACCCTGTTCCCTCCTACTGCCAGCAAGAGGGCATGCCTGGGCCCAGCCTCAGCCTCGGACACAGAGCAGTGCAGATACTCAGTGAGAGACTTCTGCCTGCAGGCTCTGGGGAGCAAACAAGCACAGTCCAGACATCACCTCTTCACCAGCCCCAGAGTGGTCGATGGCTCATGTTGTCCTCGCACGAGCAGGCAGACAACCAGCAAGCCAGCAGTCCACCAGCTCTGGGCATTCAGGGCCAGCCCTTTCCAACAGGTCTGTGTCACATCAGCCAATCTGGTGCAGGCCATGTGACCAGCTCCAGCAGCAGAAGCATCAGCAGTGACCATACCCCCCCCCCCCCCGCAAGACAGAAGGAGCCGGGAGTGGGATGTGACGCTGTTGAAGCTAGGGTTGTCCCCAGAGCGGTGATGAGCTCTGCAGCGCACATCCTGCCAAGCCTGCTGAGACCTTGCTGGGCCTCACCACATTATCTCCAGTACAAGCATCGCATTGCTCACAGGGTGCTCAGCAGCTCCCCCACAAACAGCTTGAATGTGTCAGGACTGAGCCCTGCTAGGGAAATGGCAAAGCCACAGCCATGCCCCGGCACTGCCTGCTCACACCACTCTACAGAATGGCTTCTGCCAGCACTCCCTGCCCTGGCTGCACGCTCTGCAGGCCGGCCAGGCACTGTGGCAGCACTAGCTCCTCGTGCTCATTTGTGTCTTCGTCCCCTGCAGCAGGGAGAGGCCTTGAAGCCCCTGCACGGCAATGATGGGGTGTGGTGGAGCCCCGTTCTCCAGCAGGGATCCACTCTTCAGCTGTGCTCACTGGGCCCAGCCCCACAGACAAACCCTCCTGCCACCCAGCCACAACTTCCCTGGTGGTGCTGGGGCGAATGCCTGCACTGCCCCATCCCCTCAGTCTCAGGGCCAAAAGGGGAGCAGCCACTGCCCTCCGCAAGTAGCCCTCCGAGCCTAGACACAGCGGCTGAGAGCAAGGTCTGCTCCAGGCTGCCTGCCGGACAGGCAGGTCCGGTGCCACATGGTTGCACCCAGGCCTTTGGCCAAGCCAGTGTGCAGGGATGTTGCCTCCCCTCAAGCCAGCACACCAGCCCCTCTGCTCCCCTAGGCTTGCTCCCCTGGGCTGGTGGTGTGGCCCCCCACACTTTCTCAGCTCTGCGCTCTGCAGTGGCAGGGGAGCAGGGCCAGGCATGCGGGATGGGCAGGGCCGCGCACTGCATGCACGGCTGGGAGCCGGCTCCATGCACATCCCTGGACAGGCGCCCTCGGGAAAGCGTAAGTTCTGATACACTGATCTTCGCATGCAGAGTTCCAGGCTGGGTGCCTGGTGCTGCCTCTTCTTCCAAGGCCTGCTTTGGCTCTGGCAGGACGCCCAGGACCTCAGACGCAGAGCTGGTGCTGCACTTACACCTCGATTATATTGACCGAGGGAGACTTCTTCTATGAGAGAAAAATCTGCTTTAAGGCCCTGCTTTGCTAAGCCCCTGGGAAGCAGACCCCACGGCAGAGCCCCCAGCCTCCCATGGCAGGCACTAAGACCAGCAGACCTCCTCTGCAAAAGGGCTGCCAGCTGCAGCTGAGCCCTCTGCCCTGAGCTGAGGTGTGGGTGAGCTGCAGCAGAGACCCGGCTTCAGCGTTTCCCTCAGGAAACAAAGGGAGCTAACCCTGAAACCCCAGCCTTTTGCACTGATGTGCTCTCCTGGCAGAAGGTTCAGATAGCTCAGCTGCATCGCCTGGTGCCTCCCTCCAGGTGAGTCCCTTCAACCACACACTTGCCTCCCCAGGAAGCCTTTCTGCCCACTGCTGTGCCCCAGTACTCCTGGGTGAACCAGCCCCCCCTGCCCCACACTCTTCAGCCTCCAAGGCTTGCAGACGTCTGGTGACTTCTATCTGGTCCCTAGTGGTAGCCACACTACACCTGATGCCCTTGGACAGGAGGTAGGTGCAGGGTCAGAGTAGAAAAGGTAAGTGAGGGGGTAGGAGGACGTCTGCCATGGGGCAGAGAATCCACAAAGCATAGGATGACTGGCGTGGAGGGACAGTTGAGGCCTGCTGAGTGCCAGGTACACGTCACTGCCATACCCCTCATGACAGCTCTGGTGTGTGCCAAGAGAAGTAAAGGCTGCAGGTGGTGAGGTGGATTTTCTCAAAAACTGTTGCAAGCATGAGCAGGCACTTTAGTGTAAACACTAAAAGGAATGTGCTCATTGAAGAGCACAGCAGATCTGTGAAGTCAGAGAAGGTGCTGGGAAGGGAAGGGGTCCTGGTTGCTGCACATGTGTTTTGTAGCTCAGCCTTTTCACACTGAAGCAGGGTACAGGAGGCGAGTGTCCCCATGATCACACTTTGTAACAGGGCTCAGATCAAGAGCTGCACTGTTGCCTGCTACATTACAGCAGCTTGGCCCTGAAGCCAGGAGGGGAAGCGAATGCAGAGCTTTTTCTTTCCTATACCTTGTTCCCAGCTTTGTAATTAAGGACTGCAAGAATAAACTTGCAGTGTTGTCACCTGCAAGGATCATAGGATCATAGAATCATAGAATCATAGAATAGTTTGGGTTGGAAGGGACCTCTAAAGGTCATCTAGTCCAACTCCCCTGCCATGGGCAGGGACATCTGCAACTAAACAGGTTGCTCAGAGCCCTGTCCAACCTGACCTTGAATGTTTCCAGCGATGGGGGATCCACCACCTCTCTGGGCAACCTGTGCCA